AAAAATAAATATTTATATTTATATAATGTACCTAAAAATAAATTATTATATATTTTATAATATACTATATATTTATATACTATTTATATACTATATATAATATACTATTATATATTATATATTTTATAATATTATATATTATTTGATATATAATATTATATAATATACTATTTTAACATAAGACTAAAATTTTTACAAGTTATGTAAAATATATTACATTTTACTTAATTAATAATTTTAAAATTAATGTTCATAAATGTACATATGTATTATATATAAAAGCATAAAAAGTGTTCAATAATTTTTAAAGTATAATATATTTCAAAATATTTTAAAAATGTTGTAATTTAAAATTGAATATTGAATTTTGTCTCAACCTTGGCAATTCTATGATTTATATCGATTTGGCAACATTGCTTTGCATTCTTTATGGTCGATCTATGGTCTATAGTAACAATGACGTAAGATTTCTACCTGAAGATCTTATTCTACATAAAAAAATTCAAAATTGTACCTAACAAAATAATACGAATTAGATAAAATTTTTAGTTATTTTTATATTATTTTTATCTTTTTATTTATTAATATATTATTTGATTTTTTGTAAATTACAATTTCAAATTTATATTTAAAAATATATTTATAACAAATTACATATTACATAATAATTTTTATTAAATATAAAAAATATAGTTTAAATGATATATATTTAATTATTTTTAAATTTTATTATTACATTTAATATNAAAATTTTGTAATAATTAAATTTTGTTTTTTAAATTTAAATAATATTTTTTTATTATAAATATAGAAGATTTTAAAATCATATTATTAACAATTATTATTAAAATATAATATTATAATATTAATATTATGCTTACACTATTATCATTGAGTACTAGAGATTCCAATACTATTTTTCGGCAGGTGGTTTCTTGTTCTGATGTGTTGTAAGATCTTGTTGAAACACCGTAATTCCCGCCACAAAAATCGTTCAGGTAGATCGCCGCCATTATCCCCTCTTCTTTTTTCTCAGTCTCCCACAAAGGACACTCTATTATGGAGGGGAATGTTGGATTCATTCTTATTGGTTGAAAAAGGATAGTGTGCATTCTCATATCGTAGAGAGAGGGATTCTTCTTCCATCTAAGAGAGCTGACCAGATTTCTTCAAAGGGTACGATTTCAGTTTTCAAGGACCCAGACTCCATTATCATCCTGATGCGCGCGTGCGCGCGCGCTTACAGCTTTCCGAACAAAACGTTGTGTTTTTTATGTACTTCTATGCTTTAATTCACAAATTCTACTGAAATTTACGAATACTACTTTACTAAATAATTGTTTTGTTTGTGTACAAGGCAATTATAGTTCATATTTTTTTAAAATCAGTAGCTATAATCAAATATCTCGATGGCGTCGAATTGAGACGCTACCGTTTGCTTGTCAGCTAGTTACACGTATTCGAAGTGTATTATCATCAGTGATTTATCGGAATTGTGGATATAATATATAAATTGTAAATTATGTGTAAAAATGTTGTGAAGTAATAAATAATTCGTGCAAAATAATATTATACACATATATGCGGGAGTGTTAGTGTATATTACATATTGAAATGGTCAAGTAACGCGTCAGCCATTACGGAATTCGGTTTGAGTGAATTTCATACTCGAAAGTCATTCCGGCCAATCGTATAACGATTCGCGTTATAAGTAACGACCTGTTGCTATTGCTATTATTACGTTCTAATTCATTCAATTTTTCTTTGCTTTTTTTATCAATTTCTACGATAAAGTTTTATGTTTATCGTGAAAATTTAGAATAAATTAACTATATAAAAACGAAAAAATTGTTCATATATATGTAAAAGTTGTTTGTTCATATTGAATTTATCATTAGATGTTGTTATAAGAAATATGCGATAAATGTAATTAACAATAGAAAAGTTTATGGATAACCTTATTCATATTAATATATATGCGTCCATATATATTGTATGAAATGAAAATAGTATTATATGTGAGAAAGAGAAAAAAGGTGGATTATAGTAGTGTGCGTATACGCGAATGTCGTCGACCGTTCATTCGTTGAGAGTTCCAAGCGTCGCGTCGCTACAACCTGTTGCTTCGAGTATGTTGCATGTTTCTTTGGGTATACTCACTTTTTTGAAAGTGTTTCTATATCTTTTAAATACTCTACGAAAAATGA